ACATTAAAAGATGATCTATTGTCTTTTACACAAGGAGGATACATTGACCATCGACTTAATCAGCCCCAGACAATGGCAAGCCTCTTCCAGAGCCCACAGCTAAACCCTAATGCAGACATCTTCAGTCCTATTAGAAGTCAGTATGAATGTCAGTAATAGAAGTGATTCAGTAAGAAGGAAGCCACAGGAATACGATGGGAAAGCACTGTGGGAAGCATATAGAGCACAATTTGAGCTACTGGCAGAGATGAACGGGAGGACAGAGGAGCAGACAGCAGTATATCTGGCAACGAGCTTGAAGGGACAACCACTGGAAATACTTGGACAGTTGTCATCAGACGACAGGCACAAGTATAGAACACTGGTGTCGGCTCTAGAACTCAGGTACGGAACCCAAAATCAGTCAGATATCTACAGGGCTAGGTTTAGGACGAGAGTCCGTGCTAAAGGGGAGAGCCTGCAAGAGCTGGCACAGGACTTGGAAAGCATGGCACACAAGGCCTACCCAACTGCACCACCCAATCTCCTCAAGTTGTTGCTGAGGGATCAGTTCGTAGATACCTTGGACAGTCCACAACTTAAGATACAAGTGAAGCAAGCACACCCTCTACCATGCAGGATCCAATGGACAGAGTTCTCGAATTTGAATCCTACGTTAAGTCCAGCACAGATGTACCAAGGTTGGTACAGTCATCTCGATTCAAGGCCAAAAAGGTCAGCTTTCACAGAGGTTTGGGGGACTTTGCTGGCACTGTAACAAACCTGGGCACAAGAGAGCTCAATGTTGGCAACTTCAACACAGGGGAGATGCCACAGCAGGACAGGCTAGTATCCAGAAAGGTTGTTGGAACTGTGGAAAGCACGGACATCTGAGGAGCCAGTGTAAGAAAAATGCCACCAACAAGTCGGCCTCAAGGAGACCAGTAGTGGTTGGTGTTGAGCAACGCCCACCAACCCCATCATGAAAGTCACAACAGCTAGGTGAAAAATGCCAAGCACACACAGTGTCTATGTGACAGGAAAGATGGATGGCCAAAGGTGCAACTTTGTCATAGACTCTGCATCTCAGCAAACCCTTGTGAGCATCAAGGTGTTAGATCACGAAGGTGTACCAGAAGCCATACAGAAGCTTTATGGTGTGACAGGACATTCTACAAGATTGTGGGGACCAGTGTGGGTAACTATTGAGCTCATGGGCATAAAGGACAGACAGAAAGTATACTTGGCTGACATGGAAGACAAATGCATATTGGGATTGGACTATCTACTACCGAGGAAGTTTGTAATTGATTTTGATAAAATGACGTTTGGGAACAACAAAGGCCAAGTTCTGGTAATTGTTAAAAGAGAGTTTGAACTAATTAGGTGCCATCAAGGTGAAGTCATTTTCTTTGTTCATAGATGTCCACCCACAATTGATTCATGAGCCAACTTCATCACTTGGGTCCGGTATTCTGTTGGTACAATGATCTGTTTAACTTCCCCAGTATAACTGCCTTGATATATTCAGTGTAGAACTCCCTTCCGGTCCTCTATTCCATAAGTATCTTTCCCCTTTGTTCCCCCTTTAAACTAATTCCGAAACTGTAATAGACTTTATTAAGATTCAATTGCATATTGAGAAAATCAGCTAACACGATAAATAAACGAATACAACTATCGATCGTCAGCCTTAGACTAGTAGTAATTGTACACATAGGGGTTGAAATTTGGACGGTGGCTATAACGCATTCTACCTGCACAAATCTATCAGTTTCCTATTAAATACAACCATTTAAACTAATTTCGAAACTGTAATAATCTTTACAATGAGTTAATTGTGTCTGGAGAAGTCCAGCTAACACGATAAATAAATCAATACAATTATCAATCGTCAGTCTTAGACTAGTAGTTATATATATATATATATAGGATAGAATTTGGAAGGTGGATAGAACACATTCTACCTGTACAATTTGGCCTTTACTTTTAAATCCCCATATTTGAATACTTTAAATAAAAACTCCTTTTAATATTACTGAACTGGTGTTTCATAAGTGTACGCTTAGTTGGATATACTGTAGTGTAAACTTAAATTATTTGCT